TATAATTTTTGCTGGTCAAAAATGGGAAAATAAATTTCAAATAATGTTTATCATTATGTAAGTTATTTTTTAAGGTAAGGAATTGTGAAATGCCCTATGTGTAGCATACAGCACCAAATTCGGGTAATTGACTTATTTTGATATGCAAGTTGTACAAGGTTTCACAACCATGAGCGACTCAGTGGCACAAAAGGAGAGTAAATCCCCATGCAGGATCCTCTGGCAAAAGTGCTGAGCAACCATATGCAAAAGTTTTGTTTTTCCAACGACGCATGCTATGCAAGCGCTAACACTGTGACACTGCCACACGCAGGTCTTCTAGTTCTACAAACTACACCTACTCGACTGTGATCTCACAGTTTTCAAGATCAGCACTGCTTATGACTTACTTACAGTTTGTACAGTACAGAGCAACTGTCTATCCATGCCACAAGTATACATAGCCTTGTAGAAATCATACACATGCATCCTTAGGCTTTCACAGACAAGAGGAAAAAGTAGAAATACATTAGTTAGAATTACAATTACCACTGTAATAACCAATCGCTCATAATGCAGTGAAGCGATTTCCGTCTGTTGACAGCTTGCTAACTCACACTATTCTGACTCAGTAACTCAAATAGACTCCACATTGGCCTGTACTTGAGGCTTTTTAAATTTGAAAACCCCTTAAATGACTACCATGTCAGAAGCAGATGATTAAGTATTTCTAATCTACTAAATAAGTTACACATGGTGACAAACCGACTTAAACGAAACAGTGCAGTATACACTCATTTTTCTCGCAGACAGACTTACGTACACAAGCCAAGTAGCTACGCAGGCAGCTTAAGTAATAGTATACTACTTTCTCATCTGAGTGAGTGAAAGAGAGAGAGATAAAAAGAGGAAAACTTTCCGAAGGGTAGAGAAAGAAAGAAAAAACACTAAAAGAGGAAGAACAAACAGAGAAATGAGGGGGGAAGGGAAAAATTGGACAGCAATAGTAATAAAGCATCCAGATAGCTGGGGATAGCAAAAAACAGGTAGAAGGCGAGGAGTGAAGGTGTGTGTGTGTGTGTTTGTGTTGTACGCTTGGGTGATCAGGGAAAAGAGTAAGAAGGATGAATTTGATCAGGTTCACGGTGCTACGTCTGGGCAGCTCCACCATGCAAACGCCCGTGCACCTTCGCACGATGTTGTCGATTTTTCAAGTGGACTTCAAAGTTCGACAGTGACTCGCCAGGACCAGGAGTATACAACTAATATCACAATCAAAAGATCAGAATACGACTTACACCAAGACGAGGAGCAGACTTACTTTTCCAGGACAATCGAGACACTTGACACGCCACTCCGGTTGGTTCCCATTATTTTGCTTGCGCAGGATGATTTCAAACCTGTCGTCCGGATACCGAGCTTGCATCTCAGCTAGTGCACCCTCTTGCCATTGCGGTCGCTGAAAGTCAAACAACGCATACTCAGCCATCAACAGCTAATAATAAGCAAAGCGAAATAAGCTTACAACAGGTCTGGGCATAGGCGGACCTTGTGATACAGCCGAATCTGGACCAGGAGTTGCACTCGCCGGTGTAGCAGACGGCGGCTCAGAGGAACTCGACTCCTTCAATGGAGGAGCATGTGCCGGTTTCGTGACAGACGATGACGCTTCATTATGCACAGGAAGCTCAGAGCTCCCTTTCAACGGCGTAGCAGCCGCCGAAGCAGGCCTACTCACACTCGCCGTCCCGTTTGCCTGAAGCAAACCCTGCGCAAGCGGTTTCTCCGACGCACTCGAACTAATATCCGACGCCGGTGAAAGCGGACGGTCAAGATCCAGTCCATCTGCCACAACAGACGCCTTTTTCGTTGACTTGTTAATCTCGACCCACACCTCGTTCTTGGACGCGGCTGGTGACGCAGGCTCATCTGGTACAGAAGCTGGTGTTGCTGCTTGGTCATCCTGCTTTTGCTGCTGGTTCAATGCACGCAGGGCTGCTGCACCACCACGCTTCTTAGCACTAGCTTTCGCCCGTTCGCTTTCCATCTTCAGGTTAAGATGATACTCTGGATCCGTGTGATACTCAACGGGTCGCGGTCTTCGATGCCTATGCCAGAATTTTCCTAAATAAGGCAAGAAAGGTTAGTCTTCTGCCATTGTGGTGTATAGTTAATCGCTGCATACCACATGCACCACACTGCGACTTATCTCCAAGCGGTCCCTTCCTTCGTCCAACAGCTACACTATCCGGACAACCGCAATTCGAGCAATGCCACACTCCATTGATCATATTCGCGCGCTGTCCATCCGCAAACTCGCGCTCCTTGGCCTCCTTCTCCAGCTCCCGTTGCCGACGGGCTGTCATCGGAACGTTTGTCGCCTTAGACGGAGGCGCAGAAGGGGTAGCAGGAGCCGACACTGGTAATGGTGCATCGCCCTCTAACGGCGGCTCGTGCACAGCGCTGTCCACCATGGTCGACGGAGTCGGCGACGTAATATTCGCGCGAGACTTGAGAACCGAACTCGGATATGAAGGTGCTTTGAACGAACCACGCGGTTTCGGCACCTTGGACGTAGGAAGCGTCGGCACAGAAGGCTGTGGAGTCACCTGAGGAAGCACAGTCGTACCATTCTCCGATGCGACCATGTTCGCAATCGTGACGGAAGCAGCGGCGGCCGCGGCTCTACGTGAAGTCGGTGCTGCCGCAGCAGCAGCAAGTGCGAGAGTCGACGGATCAATCTCCGGGAAACCGATTGCAGGAGTACGATGAGTCCTAATCGGTTCACGATCCGGGAGTGTAATTCCACGACGTCCGCGAGTATTACGCTTCCTACGCTTGTTCGCCTCCTTTTCACGTTCCTTGTCGAGCCGGTCGAGCTCTCCGTCGCTAAGATAGTTGATAACAGGTTGGGTCAACGTTGTCTGATCAAGCGGGCGCGTCACAAAGGTAACTGTAGGTATGAATGACATGCGCAGGTCATCGTCTTGTACGGCTGAGCCATCTGAGGGATGTCCGACGAGGAAGAGTGATTTCTGATACGTGCTAACTTGCTCGCGAATCGAGTGTGCAACAGCAGTCCTTGGGAAGTAATATTAGGAGATGAAATTTCTATCGCATTAGGTAGCACTCACTTGAATTCACTAGAAAGCCCGAGATCGGTGCAATATACCTCCGCGAATTGTTCTGGCGTAGGATCCGCATTCTCGATATCCCACTCAAAGGTATCATCCAGCTTCATCTCGCCAACAGTGACATCAATCTAGAAGGCAGAAAGCAGAATCGAAAGTAAGCCTCTAAATTTGGCAAATTTGAGACTGTAGATCGACAGACCTTAATCTCAATCCTCATCTCCTCATGCATAATATCCTCTTCCGCATCACGCATTTCAACATCCATACTCTGATCTGCCCCTGGAATGGGCTTCAACTCCTCTGCAGAAGCTGATGCCGCTGTTACCGGTGTTGCTGGTGTCGCAGCGGTAGCGGTAGCGTCTTTGTTTTTGCCTTTCTCCTTTTCTCTGCCTTTCTCCTTCTCCACCGCACTCCGCTTCCTCTTTCTCGAGCGTTCCATACTCGCCATTTCCGCCGCAAGCTCCTTCAAAAGCGCGTTCGTCTTCACAGCCCCAGTCCGCGTCCTCAGTTTCCCTCTCCACGAAGCCCAGAACTTCGCTTCATCGCTGTCGTCCTTGATTAACCCATGTATAGGCGGTGCTTTCACATCCATCCCATTGGACGAAAGGTCCAAATCGTTGCTGACATCCACAAGAGTAGCAGTATGCGCCTTGAAGTCGCTCAACTGCTCTTGAATCTGCTTCGTAATCTGTGAATGATACCCCGACGACAATCCATAATCGTCGATCAAAGATTGCGCAAACGCCTCAGGAGTGACGATCGGATCTACCGAGCCCAAACGAGACAAACAACACAGCATCGTTTAATCACAATGTAGCCACACAGGAAATAAAGAATATAAAGGAACGCACCATTCAAATTCCACACAAAGGTATCCCGGTACTTATGATGCTCGACATCGAACTCCAATCGAATCGGTACGAGCTGTTCCCCTCGCTCCGCATCCGCATCTTTCAACCTTCCAGGGATCTTCAAACCCTCTCTTCTCCGGCCCCTCCGCCTCGCGGCAGCTGCAGCAGCCTCACGCGACTGTGGAGCACCATGAGGGTAGCTCAGCTCAAACTTCTCTTTCGGCCTTCGCTGCGCTGCGGCGATCGCGGCAGGATTCGTATCTCGCTCCCACCACCGTGGACGTTGCAGTACAGCAAGCTCCGCCTTCGAACGAGTGACCATCGCTCGAAACCGTGCCTCGTACTCGCGATCTGTCTTCAACCACCCAGCAACCTTTTCGATCTCCTCTTGCGATAACGGGGGTATTTGCTTAGCGGACTCGGAGATGGGGATAACTGTCATGCGTGTCGTTGCTTGATTGAGTACACCAGCAGGGAGTGGAGGAAGTGATGCGGCAAGAGCGTTCTGTGCATTCGCGGCGGAGGACGTGGATGCAGAGCCGTTGGCAGCAGAGGTCGGTGCAGCAGCACCGTTGACAGAAGGGGAAACGGAGGCACCAGAGGCAGATGTTGCAGGCGGCGGTACAGTACCAGCGCTCACGCCGGAACTGGCACCAGACAACGGTGCGACGCCACCCATGGACATCGCCGCTGCTGAGCCAGGTGGTGGTGGCATGCTTGTTCTTCCAGTTGTAGGAGGGCGCGTAGGTGTACCCATAGCACCCATGCCCACATTCATCCCTGCACCAGGTATAGAGATCTGATTTGCAGGGACGTGTCCTTGTGCCATGTTGATGCCCTGTGCATCAGCTCCCGGTCCCGCACTCATTCCTGCTGAAGGAATCGCCGCACCAGGAGAGGGTACAACGGCAGCGCTGTTGGGAGTCGGACCCTGATGTTGTTGTTGCTGCTGCTGATGTGCCAGTTGCTGTTGTCGTGCAGCTTGTTGTTTATGGTACTCGTTGAGTGCAATTGCCTTACGTTGCTGCATCTCCTGCATATGTTGCATCTGGCTCATCCCGCCTATGCCTCCTACGCCAATTCCTCCTATACCACCCACACCTATCCCCATTCCGGGCGTCATAGCTGCATTGGACATACCCGAGCCCATGCCAAGTCCCGTATTCATACCAGACATGTTCCCCATTGGGTCGTCCATACCCGCGCCACCCATACCAGCACCCATACCGCCGAGTCCCTCGCCGATACTCGGTGTCCGCTGGAGCCCTGCAGATCCTGGTGCGGAAGCAGATAAAGGTGAACCATGCCCATGGCCAGGCATCATGCCGTGTTGCTGATTGTGATGCATTCCATGTGGCGTGTTCGGAGGCTGCATAGACGACTGAGGTTGCGAGGATGGACCAAGAGAACCTTGACGCGGAATAGTCGGTGGCGGCATCATTCCTCCACCAGCGCCGCCCATGAGGTTCATTCCTGGCATGCTGCTCATGTTACCCATGTTACCCATGTTGTTCATACCGCCAGCACCACCCATCCCGCTCACTCCCATCGGATATTTACCGTTCATGCCACTCTGCATAGATCCATGATTTGACGCAGCCGTCTGGGGACGCGAAGGTGGATGTGAGGGTTCACGTACGTGCTGGCCTTGGCCCTGGCCCATACTCTGCATACCACCCGAGCCTTGCTGATTTGCAAGGTTCGGTGTATGAGGTGTACGCGGGGCTTCTCCTGCCGAGCTCGAAGGTCGGAATCCCGAAGCAGTTCCAGGTCTTGATATTGACCCATGACCCATTTGCTGCGGCTGTTGACCATGCATCGCCTGTTGGTTGTGCATGGTCGACGGCGGACGTGGAATACCCATCCCGATCCCATGTTGTGATGAGGCCGACATCGCTGTATTCGGACGCGGAGGCGGCGGTGGCATTGAACCTGCGCTAACGTTTTGACCTTGCATTTGTTGAGACTGACTTTGTGGAGGGAAAGGCGGGTATGGGTTTCCTCCAGAAGCAGAAGCAGGAGTGTGAGTTGCGGACTGCGGGGAATGGCTTTGCGATTGGGCTTGTTGCTGTTGGCGAGCTTGTTGTTGAGCTAAGTACTGCTGCATCATGGCTTGTTGTTGTGCACTCGCTGGATGAATGCGTATGTTAGAGTAGCCCGAATGCTTATACGTTATAAATACAAAAACTAACCTCCCATCATGTTCATACCCATATTCATGCCGTTCATCTCGTTCATGCCACCGAGACTTCCCATGCTACCCATGCCTGCCATTCCGCCCATGCCGGCCATACTTCCCATACCGTTCATGCCAGCCATATTATTCATACCTCCCATGTTGTTCATTCCGCTCATACCGAGCGCGGCCTGTCGTGCCGCCATCACCTTCTGCAAATCCTGAGGTGACATCCCTGCACCACCGTTTGCATTCGGATTCGCCGAGCCAAGCATGGCAGGGTTAATCGTCATGCCGTTGTCGAGGCCCATGTTCATTCCTCCAGATCCTCCACCTGCGCCTCCAGGAACGTTATTTGGCTTGAAGAGATCCATCGATCCCATATTATTCATGCCCATACCGCTCATGCCTCCCATGCCAGGCATGTTCATACTATTTATACGGTTGGCCATATTCATGTTCATCGCGCCATTCGGCATGCCCATGTTCCCCATGTTACTCATACCCCCCATACCACTGGCGGCTCCCATACCAGACATGTTGCCCATGCCACTTAAGCTAGCCATACCGTTCATACCACCCATTCCACCACCACCACCACCACCCATGCCCGCCATCATCTGTTGTTGACGAGCAAGCATCTGCGCCTGCTGGCTCATACCAGCAGCCGCGCCAGGCATACGGCCGCCCGCACCACCCTGTGCGGACGCATGCTGCGCGCCCTGAAGCATGGCAGGATTAATACCACTACCGTGCGACTGAGCCTGATTCGGGTTCACCGCTGCAGTCGGTGAAGATTGAGATTGGTGATGTTGTTGCTGCTGCTGCTGAGAATTAAGATGTTGAGGAGATTGCTGCTGCTGATGAGGAGGGTACTGGTAGGCGTTCATAGCGCGCGCGGCATGCCAAAGACGCGCGTCTGGTTGTTTTGTTGTTTCGTTGAATTCAGCGGAGGGAGTGTTGAATGCTGAATTGATACGGGAGGAAGAAGTCGTTACAGCGTGAGGGTACGCGTATCGTGCACCGTCACGGGATCTGTCTGCCAGAACAGAACACAGGGGCGGGCGTGGGCGCACAGGGAAAGAGACGGAGACGGCGATAACGACAGGTCGGATTTGTCGGGACGGAAAACGAATGAAAGAGATCAGATCACAGTCAGTCAATCTCTCGCTCACAGAAAAAGACAGGGGAGCAGCTGACTAACCAACTCAAGGAGGGGGACACAGCAACCAGCTGGAGACTCGCACACGGGCAGGTGACAAGCGCGAGGAATGAAAATAGAAAGGGGGATAAAAAGCGCGGGGCGTATGTGTCCGTGCAAATAACCGAGGATGTGCGTGTGTGGACGTGTGAGTGCGTTTCGTCCGTCTGATGTGCTCAACAGCCCGTTTCTATCTGGTCTTCTCCGTCAGTATCGTCACTTCCTCCTCCCTCCACTCCACTCGAGTGGGCCAAACAGACACTCACCGTAGCAATACCCCTCTACCAAGACCGAGAAAAGGGGGGCAAGAGATCCAGAGACACCTCAAGGAGGACAGGTGGAAGACGAGCTAGGTGGTTGTGCGAGTGTTGTTCGTCCAGAGTGCAGAGGCGGGTGACATTGTGTCACATCAATAGTCACATCACGCCATCCCCTTTGGCAACACACTCCCAGCCAGCAGCAGCGTATTGGGCGTCTACCACCAACCAATACAGTAGTACTAGCGGGGGGCATGGCAGATGGGCAGCAAAGCGGGAGAGACGGGAGAGCGGCCTCGGAAGCGAGGGGATGACACAAGGGCAGGGCGGACAGATTAGAAAAGAGGGAGGGAGATTTGCAAGGAGGCAAAAAGCCGGAGTGGCCTCCAAGCGGCTAATCGCGCTGCCTGTCTATTCTACGCACTCTATCTCACTCTATCTCTTCCCTTTCAATTTTCTCCTTTCATTTAGACCATTCCCTGTGTTTGTCTTTGTTTCTATTCATTCTTACGTCTTCGTTACCGCACTACGCAGCGCCAGTCACTTGCCCTGCATTGTACTCTACTTGCTTGAACTTTCCGGCGCGTCGTTCTATAGCCGACCGTCTCCGATGCTCAGTCACCCACAACATTGAAATCCAACAGGAAAATGATCTATTGATTCGATGCATTATGGAGAAAACATCCACAGAATTGGTATTTAATGATGCCCGCCCTCCTTCTCCATCATCGCAAGATGTCCAGCCTTACTCGTCTGCCAAGCATCCTGCTTCTTCGCATACGCGTAAATCGCGTACCCTGTTTCGTTTCGCCACACCGCCGACCGACCCGACAAAACAGAAAAACAGAACATAGAAAGAAGAAAATACAAGCGGCGTCAGTAAAGAGTAAAGAATCCGAGCGAAGGAGGGTTGAATTAAAAAGGAGAAAAGGAAATGGAACGCACCAATTGCAAATGGCGGGACGACGAAAGGCAAATGACCCGCAATACGCCAGAATCCGCTGAAGAGGTACCCTTTGAAGGCGTCTCGCATTGGGGCTTGTCGCGTTGAGGATACAGCTATTCATCCATCCATGCCGTCGATTAAAGTGCAGCGAAGTGAATGAACGCGTAGAACTTGACGTCAGATTAAACCAGAGTACTGCAGGCAAGTCGAACGCACCGTATTGAATAATTCCCTTTTGCTTCGGTCCACCCATATCACCCCACCATCCCATCTGTATACCACCGCGAATAGGTGTTATACTCACTCTTACAATGTAAATGTTTCTGGAATAAACTCACATAGTGCTTCCCTACACACAAATAACACCTCACTTCAGTCCACTCGGACGAACAGAACAAAACGGAGAGAACTTACCACCAGGCATCTCGCTCGTCATCCTCACTTGCGTCGGGCGCATCTTGGCCTTTTATTATCGAGAGAGGCTCTATTCAATAAGCACGGGCTGGGAACGTCTTGCGAATTGGTTGAACGTTGAGAAGGATGGATTCGAGAGGAGTGCAAGAAGGAGTGCACGTGATTCGCGGGACGAACCGGACCCTGCTTCCTTTACACGTAGCGCGTCATTCAACCCGCAGTACACTGAGTACAATACCAACACAAAAGTAAGAAAGAACGTTTATCAACCACTCTCTTCGCTCATCAGAGTCCAATCCGGCTAATTCAAATCGACACTATTATCTTATCATAACAGAAAGTGCAAAGACACTCTCTAAAAATGATCACCCACGATACACTCTACAACCTCGCCAACGCACTCGGGCTCTGCGCAGTCCTCGCAGTCCTAGCATACCACTTCGTCGCCGTCAACGCACGCGTACTACAGTCTCACTCTTCTGCACGGTCGTGAATGATTCGATACATACGTACCCACGTGCCTGTTGTTGTGTTTGGAGTTTTCTTGTGTTGAGGTGGAGAGGGGAAGGGAATCTGTAAGGCCATATTTCTTCCTTCGTATAAGGCAGTTGCTCATTAGTATAATTCACCCTTTAGTAGGTTCAGGTGGAACACTGCTGGCAACTCGACTTGATCGGCTACCCGTACTCGCGTAACAAAACCATTCATTTAATTTATTACATCTGTTTTTTGTACACCGGAAAATCCAGTATCCGCTCCCTGCTGTCAACTTGGACCCAACAACGAATTCATCAAGCCAATAACAAACTTTCACACCTTCGTTCCTAAAGTCAACAATTTGTTCATAGCCGGAGTATCACTAGTACCAATGTTTTATAAGTCATAACTCCCTGCTATACACAGCGGAAGCAGACGAATGGCTGCCCTCGTGACACCCACCAGCACCTAACATCCTCAGTTCTCGGATGGTAAGGGATTGAAAATCGCCGGATGTCCAATTCTGACCAAGAAACATACATGCTCCAAGGGAGCAAGAGACAAATCATATCAAAATTTAGATTCAAGTCAACAACACTAGCATAGGACATGGAGGCATAGATGTTAAAGAAAGGTCATTCCGTTCGTACCGTTCGTAAAACACAAAAAAAAAAGACAAAACAAGAGGAACAAACAAACATGTATGTTTAAAGAATACAAGATTTGGGGGGGAGGCGGATAATAGTTGAAACATAAGGAAACAAGCTCTTTGGTATGAATGGAGTCAGACCAGCTGCCGAATGAGCACAGTAAATGAGTGAGAAGGTATGCGCGGAGAACAGATGTAAGTGTGAATGTTAGAAGTTACCTCCGAGAACGAGTGATCAGAAAAACAATAGGCGATGATTCAGTACTTGTGTAACAAGATTATGAAGTTCCAAGATGGTAAACACGTCCAAACCATGCAAGATGGATATAGTGATACAAAAATAGGTGGAAGAAAATAAAAGAAAAGGAGAAAAGATCTATTGAAGAAATACTTAAGCACCGAATCGAGGTGAACGCGGGCCGAACAAGCCTGATGGTGCAGACGGTGGTGGTACTACGAGGGGGCTGGGACTCGGTGGCGTCGGTACAAACGCAGGGTTTGCTGTAATGAACATACAAGTGATCAGAACTCGTGATACACTTATCAATAAAATACTTACGTTGCCACGCTGTCCAGCTTGGCGGATGAGGGATCGGCTCTGGCGGAGCGAGTGTTTGCGCAGTCGGCGCCTGCTGTTCAGTCCTCGCTCTCCTGCTTCGACGCGGGGCACGCTGCTGCACTGTGCGCCATGCTGGTCTCGCCGGTGGCGGAGGTTCTTCGGGTCCTGGAGGCGGAGGACCACCAGGACCGCCTGGACCGCCAGGAAGCATGTCCCCACCTGGAATGTGCGGAGGAGCAAGGGGACCCATAGTAGGTCGCCTATAAAACCATCTCGTCAGTAACAATCACAACGGAAGATGCTATAAAGAATTACCACTCGGGTTCGAACTGGCCACCTGGTCCATATTGACTATGCATATGCAGAAGTGATCCGATTTCACTAGCAATAATAATTAGTCACCCGCACCAAATGCTATAGGAATGATCAGAGAAACGTACAATTGTATGGTTCGCTTCTGTTCGTGGAGATGTCCGACCTCACCCAATAGAGTACGAATCTCGCCGGCCAACGCTTTGCTGAACTCATCAAGGTAACCAGTCAAGTTATAAGGTACCATCTCTTGAGCCGTTGCCCGAACAGCTTCAATCGTCTCCTGGTGCTGTCGACCACTGTCAGCCCTCCAGGCCTCAGTGAGGTTATTAATGAGTTGAATTTGCTGCTCGTTCTGCCTTCTCAGTTCCTCGAGGACGTGCTCAATGCCTTAAAAGCAATTTGTTAGTATGAATCAATAGTAAGCAGTAGAAAACCTACTTGGTCGTTCTGCTGCGGCAGCGCGTTCCGCATCTCGCTCCCTCTTTTCCGCCTCACGCTCCAGCATGATGGTGTTTAAGATACCGTACATCTCATCATTCCGCTCCTGTTTACGGTCTCGCCTCGCGAGTTTCTCCTGCCATCTCTCGTCCATCAGTTCTCTCTTTCGCAAAAGTTCCTCGCGCTGTTCCTGCACAATGTTCGTGATATCGCCGAGTTGCGCCCGAACTGCCTCATCGCGTTCGACAGCTTCAAGATGTTCTCGCTCAATTCTCTCTAAGTCTTCTGCCCTTCGCTGCTCTCGTTCACGCTCAAGTTCCTCTCTAGTACGTGCGAGCTCATCTTCCAACATACGAATTCGTTCCTCGCATTCCGCTTTCGCGTCGGCTCGTGCCTCCATGATCTCGTCGCGAAGCACGTCAAAGCGCTCCGCTTGCTCTGCTTTGCACTGCGCATTGTCAGCTTGTTGTGAACGAAGTAGTTCGAGTATCTCATGCAGTTGCGGCATGGCTTCCGCGGCAACCATGGGACCAGCTGAAGGCACAGGTGGAGGCACTGGTAAACCCGATTCCGCGATGGAAACTCTATCGGAAATACCCGCCGGTTCCTCTGGAAGAATAGATGGTTCAACACCTTCGGCTGGTAAGCCTGGGACTGGAGCTCCTGGCGGTTCTACTGGTGGTTGCATTAATGGTGGCCGTGGCAGTTCATGAAGAATGTGTTCAATCTCCTCGCGTACACTTGCTACATCGTGTTCGCGCTGTTCTTCATGTTCACGGAAGATCCTTTCACGCTCATCTTCATGCTCGCGGAAATACTGTTCGCGCTGTTCCTCTGCATCTTCTGCAGCTCGATTAAGCTCATCAAGACGACGTTCTTGTTCGTCCAGCCTTTCTTGGCGGGCTCGCAGAGAATCGTGGAAAGCAAGGTCACCCGGTCCCGATGGTACTCGTGGTTCGTACACCTCCTCATGAGGTAGATGCGTTCTTACAACATCCGGAACCCCTTCGTCATGTTCATAGACAGGTTCGGAGGGCATGCGGGTCGGAACACGAGTTGGCATACGACCCGGAGCAGGAACTGGTTCGAGTGAAACCGGCGGGCGGACAGGTTGTGCCCCTTCAATGCTTGGCGCGTAGCTAGGATGGACGCTCACAGGGGCTTCGTATTCTTCTATCGGGTGTACCGGTGGCGGAGACATTCGTCCAGCGTCCATAGGCACGACTGTGGGGGGCCGTTCTGATATCCTGGTTGGGACTCGCGCTGGACGCTCTGAAGTTGGCACTCGAATAACCTGCGTCTCAGGCTCTGGTGCGTAGACAGATTCGGGTCCTGCATAAGTCGGAGCACCTGGTAGACCAACTCTTTCTGTCGACGGACGTCGAGTGTGCACTACGACGCGCGTTGGAGATGCCGAGGGTATTCTTCGGCCAGATGGGGTATAATGAAGAGTCGTAGGAGGACGTCTGGGTGAATATTCATGCTCAGGTCTATCATAATAGGGAGAACGAGACCCTCGAGGAGGGCGACCACCATCCCGCTCAGGAGGACGTCCGGGTGAATATTCACGCTCAGGTCTATCATAGTGGGGAGAACGAGACCTTCGAGGAGGGCGACCACGATCCGGCTCAGAAGAACGAGCGGTTGGATATCTCTCAGGAGAATGGGTTGGATATCTACGTCTATGAGGATCATCCTCATCATACGGAGAACGGGAACGATGACTACGGAGTGGCCTGTGCAAGCGGGAAGGTGAACGACCTTCGTCACGAGGTGAATAAGACCTTCTGCGGCGTGGCGAGGGAGACCTAGCGATCCTTTCGCTGTAAACAATCAATATTGTGAGGTAAGGCAATGTTGAACAAGCTAATTACCTTGGCGCGGGCACTAGTATAGGCGGCTGGCTTGGGAGTATCGTCGGAACATGCGAAGGAGAATAGAACGGACGACCTTCCTCATACGCGGTATGGGCTGTCGGAGGCGGAAGAACAACAGGAACTTGCGAAGGAGCTTGCTGAGCTGGTGGAATTATAACTGGCGGCTGCATAGGTAATGGCGGCTGCATTGCAACAGGATGAGGAGGCTGTTGGATTATAACAGGCGGCGTTCGTGAACGGCTCCGCGACCGAGAACGCGACCGTCTCCTCTCAGTAGCAGGTGGAGGAGCAAAAATCTGTGTCGGTGGCTGTGGTTGACCCATCGGGTGCGGGACGATGACTTGAGGGGGAGGTGTACGAGATCGACCCGAGTCTGCATGGATGACAATTGGACGCTCAGGAGACGGAGACCGTGAGTATCGGTGCCGACGCGTTGGAGAATATGAAGGAGAAGAACGACGACGATGCCTGCGGCTTGGTCGATCCATATCGGAGTACTCGGACCTCCTAGTAGGACTTCTATGCAGACGACGAGGTGGTGACTCAGACCGATCTCTGTGACTTCGCCTACTTGGAGCAGGAGCTGTAACAACTATCCTCGTTGGAGAACGTGACCTTGATCTCGACCGAGAACGGTGCATTAGAACTGGCCGCTCTTCTGCATAGGTCCTCGGAGGCGACCCAGGGTATCCGGAGGGTAAAGTTGGTGCAGGCGGCGGCATGGAAGGAGGAACAATCACTACTGGCTGAGTTGGTTGTTGCGGAACAAATGTCGGTTGAGGTTGTACAGCAGCTAAACCAGGATGTAATGGCACACCGGGCCGAGGTTGATCTTCCGGCCGAATGACCTGAGGCACTGCCTGTGAGGGTGCTTGAGAAGGGACTTGAATAGTAATATGAGGGCTGCGACGCGGACTAGTTGTTCTACTAGACGAAGGACTACTCGAGCGTGAGGGGGAATGAGGACGTCCCAAAGGAGGCATAACAGCGATCGGTTGTGCCGTCATTCCTGGAGGCGGAACAGGGACCATCCCAGAGGGAACCATACCAGGCTGGAGCATTCCTGGTCCTGGCGTTGGGGGTGGGCGCGGAGGGATAAAGGGCTCATGGACAGGACCTTGATCTCCATAGCTTTCTTGAGGCGATGCATGCACCGGTACGGTTGGATGAAACGGTCGCATGTCTGGTATGACTGGCACTTCAGGACCTCCATGACGAGGAGGGATGAACGCCTCGGGTCTAACATCAGAGAAAGGAGGAATAACTGGAGGACCCGATCCACCAGGCGTGAACGGCATCTGCGGCTGAGGCATTCGCATCGACGGTATTACTGGAGGCCCACCGAGGCCAACGGGCTGTGGTAGTGGTGGTACAATGAATGTTTGCCCTGAAATTGTATGAATTGAAAGCACTCTTTGTTATCAGAGTCAAAACTCACCTTGTGGGCCTTGGGGCTGACCAGAGACTCCTGGTGGAACGACAACTGGTGCACCTAATAGATTATTCAGGTTTCAACGCTCGAGGGGACAATACTAATAACGACTTACCTCCTGGAACACCGAGGCGACTGAGATCATTGCGCAGTGCATCCACACGGGCGGCAATACTTCTCATCTCATTATGACGATCACGGACGTCTTGTTCAAGCCATTGATTCAAGCCTCGCATGTAGCGCATGATCTCTCGCTGCTGGTCGATGGACGCTGTCTGGGCGAGGCGGTTTTGCTTCAACAAATACATTAATAAGTATATCTTTACTAGATATCACCATTGGAGACTTACACGCAACAGATCCAACATCTCATTGAATGGAGGCGGAGGACCCATCAGAGGAGCACCCTTTCTAGTTGTCAGTATATAATACAAGATTTATGATTATTCTACTCACAGGCATTGGCATCATGCCTGGTGCAACACCTGGCTGCGTACCTGGGAAAGGCTGTGGGAAAGGGGCTGCAGGTGCATGGATAGCACCAGGATCGCCAAACTGAAGGTTTATAGCATCATCGGACTGTGATAGTTCATTGAAGAGCAAACGCACTGTTTGACCAGGCTGAACCGGACCTGGCGGTGCAGTATGAATCCGATCCGGATGTGGCGGTACTTCCTCAAATTCAATCTAATAACAACATTTAGATCATTAGTAGAATTCACTTTAACGGGTATATGCCACTGACTGGACCAGCCGGAGGTCTAGTTGCATCAATATTTCCATCACCACCCTGCCGTTGTCGTCGAAGGCGGCGAATTTGATCTAACATGTTAATGTCTTGAGATTCAGGACGCTGTCGAGGAGCACGCACTGGCTGATGCCGCATTGGTGGTTGAGGGGGACGGCCGTCCCAGCCATCGAAGTCCGGCAATTGTGTTCCTGCAGTATCTAGAACCGACTCCACGAGGGGTCGAGGTCTCCCTGGCCATCGACGCTGCCAAGGCGGTGGTCGAATCGGGCCGTCTCTTTCAATAGGAACAGACCGAGCACGGATAGGTGATTCGATGGTGATTGGAGGACTAGTGCTCTCTTCTCGGAATCTCCTTCTAGTCGGGCGATATAGAGGAACAAGTGGTGGAGGACCCTGTATCGGTTGTTCAGCAACTGGAGGCGGTTCGGACAGGAATTCCAGCCAGTCAGTGTCCAAGTTTGGAGGAGGGGCGCGCACTGGGGTTGGAATGTGCACATCCGCAGGCCGTCGATCGCGCAGGCGGCTGAGGTATCGTCTCAGTGCCGAGGACGTTTCTGAGCTAATTTCTGAGGAAGGCTCCTCAGAGACCGGTGGGGCACCTCTTGCCAGGTCGCGAACAATGTCACCTAGGAGGCCCTCAATATTTCGTAATCGATTTCCAACCTCGTCGCTCGGGGTAAGGGGTCTTCTCCCCACTAGATCGTCAAGCATGCGGTTTGTAC